CAAAACCAGATCTATAAAAGCCTGGAGTTTGGTGTGAAAGAGTTGTGAAAACAGGATCAGTGCAGCGACAGAGCCACGCGTTGACACATGTCTTACATGTGTTTGCTCTTTGGTCAGCACGGATTTCCTCTGAAAAATGATGTAAAAGCATTCGATGAACTTTCAGATATGGGTCACGTGGCCGTGAAATGAAAACAGATGATATCGGTCCCCATTTTTCTTAACATTCTCATAAATGTAATCATCAATAATAAAGCAAAAGAAGTTAAAAATATTTTTAAAGTTTTAATAGGGCAGGTGTAGAGTGAATTCTGAGTGAATATTATCAGTTTTATTTAGACAAGAATCAAGAATCTTGGATCTTATTCTTGGTTCCTTGTGTTGTGAGTTTTAATTAAATTCACAGTGTGAGTCTTTGCCGCCACAGGAGGTGCCATTAGGGATACGTGGTTCTTCTGGGACTCCCAGGACCTTCTGCCTGTGGGCCAGATGCTGTACACCTCGCTAAGCTTTCTAATTCAGCCCGCCAAACGCAGGAGCAAGGTATCGTAAAGACTGATGTCACTCCTTCTGTTTCATGCTTGACAACAAATTGACTGTAGTTTCAGTTTCTGCCTAACGGTGGCGCAGCTAGCAGCGTGGAGCTGCGCATCTCCTGACCTCGCCCCTTAACTATCACCAGAGTCTGACTCAAACAATTTGGCCTTTGGAGTTTGATTTATGTCCACCCAGATAGCTAAAAGCTGTATAACAGGAGTCCATAACACTTTACAGCTGTCCCATCACGGCTGCCTGTCCTGCTGCTCTGCCCATTGATTAGTCGTATAAGGGACAAATTGCTCATTTTAGGTTCGTTCCATCCTCCCTATAAGTAATAACCCCTTAACGGTGGTATAAAAAATATTATTAAAGCCGGGATTAGACTGTCACAATTGAAAAGTGGGTCTGCCGTTAATGTGTGTGTGCGTGGGCGTGGGATTTTGCAATCTCCTTTGTTCGTGAACAGGAAGAGGAAGAGAATGAATAAGGAGCATTATCATTCGCACTTTGGTTTTCCACATGCATTGCCAAATGTTGACGTCCAGTGCGATGCTGAATCCTTTTCCTCTTTCTTAAGGTTTTCTTCCTCACCTTCTATTACCATATTTACAACCGGCTGGCACGGAGTTCCACGCTGGCTTCAGCAGCAGCATGGAAAATAAAGGAAAGGGATTACAAAGAGGATGTCAGTGTGTTGATATAAGAGGATCAGACATGCAGGAGTGGAATTTGGCCCCTTAAGTGTTCCAGAAGGGAATTAGGGATGAATTATCATCTAACCCCACCCTGGTCAGTGGAAGGAGGAGAGGAGAGGAGAGGAGAGAGCCACTTTTATTTGTACTACATTTGGTGAGAATGGTGTCAGACAATGGTGTTTGGAAAAGGAGGAGAGAGACAAAGGCGGGTCAACGTTTTCATAGATAAGACAGGAAGCAGCAGAGCTGAGGACTGAGACAGAGCAGAGGCTGAATCCACGTTACCAGGACCAACCAGGGCAGAATCACCTGCTGATGTATTTGATTTGATCACATCTGTCTGTCCCTGGTTTGGAAGAATTGAAAATCACTCGTAACAAACAGTGAGGTTTATAAACTTTTTTTTGTCTGCCATCATTGATCTCTGTTATGTGGACGATTATCTGATTTAAATACATGTACAAAATGATCCCAAAACACTGCTGAGAACAGTCTGATACATGATGAAATGCAGCCTTCTCTAGACTCTAAAGAGATTAGAACAATTTCACAACACATTTTCACAAAAGCAACAAACTTACTTTGACTGTGCAGATGAAGAAACGTGCAGAAGTTCCTCCTTCGTTACCAGGAACTTGTCCGAGGAGATAAATGGAAAAGCGACGCAGACTCTGTGCAGCTGCGTGAGAGCTTCCTGCACTGACTCTACTGAGAGGTCCCTGAACATACAGTATATCTGTCAGAGAAATATTCAAGGAGGTGAAGAATGCAGCATTTGTGGATGTGGAGCATTAATTTATTTTTTCATCTTGGACAAGTGCCTTATTTTCTTTTCTTTGATTGTGAGTCCTTTGCCAGATGTACGGTGTAATGATACTGTGGGAAACAAACATAACCTGTCCAAATGTTTCAACAAAAAAAATAAAAAATAAAAAAATCAAACTTCAAGTTAAAAAAAATAAATAAAATGAAGGGCTCTGATCACGGCTCAGTCAACTGCCAACAATTGATTATGTTAAGAGTAGATAATTAGATTTGATGAGAAAATAAAACAGGAAGACAGAGCTGTTACTGGAGGTTGGAGGGGGATTTGAACAGGCACCTGGCTGTAAACATTCCCTTTTGGCTGCACACAAGGTCCTAGTTCAAGACAAATACTTAAAAAGTAATAGAAGTTTTTACCAAAAAACTTTGTTAACCAGCTTACATTTTTTCAGTGTTTATTATTGTAACTGAAAGCACTTCAAATGTTCAATCTGATTGATAGCAGGAGAGCTCCATTACAATTATTCATAATTAATCCTGATCAAAAGTATCCATGATTGAGATAAATTCAACATTCCTAAATATGACAAGTACTGCTGCTCCAGAAAGACAGATAACGGGTGCTGGGTGTTGAGATGGTATTTGAGGTTTGAAGTACTTCTTTGAAATCAAAACGCTTTCCTGCAGTATGTACAAATAACATTAATATTGACTACTGTACTAGAACAACAATAAGGGCAGAAACAGTGGTATTATTAAATATTAAAATAAAAAATATTAAAATGCACTAAAAATTCAATAATAATATACATATATAGATAATGTTAAAACATAAGCAGCAAAATATTAGAAGATATTGAAGCTGATTTAAAATTTAATTCTTCTAGGAACATGTGTTATTGACCCCTAAATTTAGGTTGATAATGTTAAAACATATGCAGCAAAATATTAGAAGATATTGAGGCTGATTTAAAATTTAATTCTTATAGGAACATGTGTTATTGACCCTTAAATTTAGGTTTAAATAATGCAAAGGTGTTTTTTAAGGTCAATACAGTCTTTTCATCTTTTCTCCTCTACTGTTACATTTTCTTCTTTCTGTAATTCCAGAGTGGAAGGTGAGAGGTGAGGTGTTCTTAAACATTAAATCTCTTCTCACTGAAGTAGACACTAATGTTTACTGTATATATTTACACTTTTTGAAATATATCTGGCTTTTATAAAGCCATCTGCAGCAGGATGTTTGATGTTGTTGCCAGGGAGATTTCCTGCGTCGGTTCAACAGGGGGCGTACACCGAGGATACTGTGTCACCTACAGAACATCAGCCACTGCACGGCAGCTTTGCACACATTTGACTCCACTGCTTCTTGTTCACGGCCCTGAAAAACCTCGCTTCTCAAAGAGCTTCGATTTCTTTGGCAGTACCTGTGACGCCATCTGCTCCTCATTTATTACGCCTTGGCAGAATTCTGGATCAACTAATATTCCTCCTTTCCTTTTTTTTTTCCAAATTTCTTCTATAAGTAATGTTCCATGAAACATGACATTATGAATGATTTTAAAACGGCGGTGCTGGACAACAGGCAGAAAAGACCTGATTTCCTTTTGATCAGTCCAGTTGTGATTGTTACCAGATCAGCCGCGTCTGTCTGTACAAGAGCCAAGCTTGTTTAATTGCTCACACCCACAGCCTTGTTAAATTCTCCTCTTTGACTGCATGGCTTTCATCCAACTCCTCGGCATCAGCATCTCTCTCTCTCTCTCTCTCTCCCTCTCTCTCTCTCTCTGGGGTTCAACTGCATCCTGTGTAACATCTGTGCTGAGGGATCCACTCTGATAAGCAACTCGGCCCCCCCTCCCACAAACGCTCTCTCTCTCTCTCTCTCTCTCACGTACACACACATATAGAACACAAAAAACTGATTCCTGGTCTCCAAAGCAGAACTGTCCACAGAGGACTATCTCCACAAAGCTGCCACGCATGAGCTGTTGAGCTGTCTCATTGATCTTTCTTTCCCCACAGTCCAGCCTGGGCATTCACTCTTGTTTGCTACGCCTTAGCAAGTCCACTTTGGAAAAACATCACCCATGGGAGAAAAGGGGAAGATTAAAAAAAAAAAAAAAAAATCCCTCACACTCTTTGAGAAATAAACTTTCTCTCCAGTCAGGATCTGTGGTCTGGACTCAAGTGATGTCATCTAATAAAATGGAAATTGTATGCATGCTCTGCAGGAGAAACAAGTGGGGCCTTACATATGGCACCATGCACCGTCGAGTGAAAGAGGCTAATCTGACACTGATGCCTGCACATGCCTCAAAGTGGGTGTGTGAGTGAGAACATGTTTGGAGCACCAGGGAGAGGGAGAACACTCTCTCTCTCTCTCTCTCTCGTATCATGCAACACTTTGTATAGATGTGTTTCAATCTGTGCTAAGAGTTGAAGATTACAGCGTCTAATGGGACGTTTTTATTAATCCACCGTTCTTAGTCAGTCTGTGTGAAGGAAACGTGTTTGTGGTTCATGCAGGTTGTTATTTTTAGATGAAGCAAAAGTGTGGTTCATGCAGGTTGTTATTTTTAGTCATAATATTATTTAATGTATTTGAGTTTTTGAAAAAACTTTTTTGAAAAAAAAGAAAAAATATAGACCATTATTCTAATTAATATTAAAAAATGTTAAAAACACAACGATTGAGTTAAAAAACAAGCACATTTATTTATTTGTTATTTATTTATTTATTATTCATGAGTGAATTTAATAAAAAATGTTAAGAGTTTTATTTTATATCAACATTGGTTCACTCTGATGTCATCAGCTAAACTTCTGGAGACGTGAAAAGAATGAGTATTTACTCACTCACAAGTGTTGTAAAATAATAATTCACAGCTCACAATGTTCAAAATGCCAACAGATAAATTAAGACAAAAATGATTTTATTTGACTTCCTGTGGACAACAGTTTATTTAACACGCAGACCTTGAACACACCAAAGGTGGCGGGCATTTTGTTTTACCACATGTCTTTTTGTTTGACAGCTGAGCTCCTGTGACTTCTACTCTGTGCAGGTAAGTCATACCAGCCATGAGTTGTTCAACATTTTATTTTTGCAGATTGTTGTATTTTCTCCATCCTGCTGATGCTCTGTTTGTCTTCTTAATCTGTAGTCCTGCTAAATCCGAAAAAAAGTCCCAACCACCAATTACCCTCTGTTCACTGCTGGTCAAACACATTTTGTTTCCCTGCTGTGTCTTTGTTCAGCCTGGTGCTACGACTGCCCCTCTGTGCAGCCAGCTGGGAGGGGTCTTTTGGTTGAAAGTTGTTCAATGAGAGATTTGGGACTTTAGTGTTGATTTAGTATCACGTTGCTATATAAAAATACCAGTGTGTGTGGTGGGAAACTGTGTGACCGGTGCTGCTGCTGCTGCTGGTGTGTGTGAGTGTGTGTGTGTGTTTGGTAACGAGGATCGTAGTTGGAGTCTGGGTGAAGAGTGAGCAGGTGGACAGAATGTTGAACAGTTTTAACTTTTCTACATATTTACACAAACCACATGATGTGTCAGATCAGGGTCACCAAAGGTCATGGTGCTGTGGTCAGTGTTGGTTCAAAGAAAGAGTTTGATTTCTATGTGTGTGTCTGTGTTTTTTAATGTTAAAGTTAACTGTGCATGTGTGACTGGTTCACTGCTATTTATGACCAAAAACTCTGCTCTAACAAAAAATACTTTGACTGTAATCTACATTAAGGGTGTTTTAAACATCTTTTGATAAAACCTTGTAAAACACTTGATGATAATGATAATAATAATAAAACAACATATATTTATATATATACTTTTTTATTTTATAAAGAAGAAAATCCGAAATCCGTGACTCATCTCCAACCATTGTTTGTTTGTCTAATGAAAGAGCAGATGAATCCCAGGACAGACCTCATACCTCGTTTTATGGCCTAGCGTGGTTACTCTAAATTACATGTAACACTGCAGCTGACCAGATTGTTTATTAAAAACTAGGTGGCATTCTACATGGATGAAGAGTCGGTCTTTAAACACGATGAGCTCAGATGCACAACAGTAATCAGAGTTTTTCTTTCTTCTTTTTTTTTTTTTCAAAGTATATTTTTACAGCTGCTGCTGAGTCATTCACCAGGGTAACATTCAACAAGTTAAAATTCTGTGTCCCTGTGCCCTGAAAGTCATGACAAAGACACATGTCTTCATGCATACATTATCAGGACCAAAGTAAAAAGACATTCCAACGCTGAGGATTATCTCCCAATAGTTCTCATTTCCCATGATGCTTTGATTTACTTTAACTCAATCCCGGTCTCAGAGATGTTGTTTAAAGCCCTTGGCGTCAGCGTTATCTCCGCCATCTAGCAAATGCAAAATAGGCGCTTTTGTTGCAATCCCTGGCTGGCAAATTTAAAGGTCAGAGATGAATGCAGCTTTCTATGTAAACAAAATGCAGCCATCTTGATAACAAGGGTTTCTATGAAGCTCTTGAAGTGGACTTAGTACCCCATGACTCCTGCTATATGATGCTGAGGAAAATTAATCTGGGTTTGACTGATAAGTGAGTGGGAGTCAGTGATGTGTCAGACCTGAACAGCTGCACTGTTCGTCAGTGGGCGCTCTGACTATATGAGGCTTCTTGGAAAGAGGGTTAGCCTGAAGGCTAACGATCTAAGATGCGATAAGGTAATTGGCCACTGTTTAGACAGAGGTATCACTGGTCCTGCAACTTTAGTCCACTGTCAAAAAGGTCAGTGACCAGGAGCCCAGACGGTGATTAAACATTTATACCGGACACCCAAACCCTTACATATCAAATGATCTCTGCAGCACTGGTCTCAGACCAGTCCAGCTCATTTTACGCCACGTCCAAAATTCCTGCTCATCAAATCAACCCCCCGGGTTATGAACTAAAATTTATTGTACCCGTGGGCAACTTATCCCGCCGCCCTCTCCCCCCTCATTTTTCTGGAGTGATGCTGCAAGTTTGCAGTCTTGAACAACACTTCTAGCGCTGGGACCTGCACTTCGCTCAGTAGATTCCAGTCTTTTATGAGTGTAATGATTTTAACTGAGGACAACTGCTTTAGCTGTTACGACAGGAAAGAAGCTGTAATGGCCATTATGTGTAGCCTAAAAACTTTGGCCCAAACCCCCATTACTGAGGAAACAAAACCCTCTACCAACATCCTTCTATATTCAAAAAGCTAAACCAGGGCGACGTTTATAAACCTTTAAAACTTACTGACCGTATCGTCACAGCCGGAAGTGGTGGTTACGTGCAGGACCTTAAATGTGTGGTTAACATTTTGCCATGTGGACTTGCTGCACTTCACTTCACCACTCCTCTCTTTTTCAAACCCGTCTGTTTCATTTTTTTCTGTAGTCATTTCTACAGTGCTTCAAGAAACAAAGCCAACACAAAATAAATAGTTTAACTTCCTCACAGTGTAATTTCTAAATTGACAAAACAAAATAAAATAAAAAAGCCTTTTTGGCTCTGTAGTGAGACCATTTGCTGCATCCCATAATAATTCTTCCTACAAGACCACTTTACCTGTTTGTTTTTTTTTTTCCTCCATTTTCTTTATAAGGTTCAGGAGATTTTCTATTATATTTGTAGAAATAAAAAAAATTGAATCAGAATCATCTTTATTTGCCAAGTGTGGGAACATTCAAGGAATTTGCATTTGAATCAGGATCATCTTTATTCACCAAGTGTGGGAACATTCAAGGAATTTGACTGACTTTGACTTTTCTATATGAGGGAACATTTTTATAGTAATTATGAGCATTAGGTGGACTTTCAAAACTGTCTGTCACAGAGATGAATACAAACTCGGGCTGTCAAACAATTACTTTTTTGGTCTCATTAATTCCAGGGTAGCTTTGAGTTAAACAATGAATCATTTCTACTTTTGACCTTTTTAAAAACAACAAATTAAAGATAAATTGCTGGAACAGAAAGACAGCAGGTCGAGGTATGAGTTTCACAACTGCTATTTGAAAATTCTAGAATAATACAAAATAAAATATGCAAAAATACATATATATATATGAATTTGAGGCTCTGCCCACACATGTCAGCTGTTGAGATGGTAATTTAGTCCAAAGGTGCTTTGGTGATACCAAAAAACCTGTTTCCTCAGTGTGTTTAAAACCAGTAACAATGTATGTACAGTATGTAGTTAACAGATATTTAGTCTTAAAAAGTGAATGGAATTGAAATTATTAGGAGTTATTAATTTTAATCTGATTAATTGGTTTAATCCATAGAGTTTGGCTGATCAGTACAAATCTCAAGTCCTGATCTGTTTATATTCTGCAACTTTGGGACTGGACCAAAGTGTGTGGTGAGTCAAGAGAAAAGATAAGAAGAAAAAAAAAATAAATAAAGGATGCAATTGGTGGTGGTGGAGGTCGAATGGCACCAGTTTTAGATATAAGAGCAAACATTGTGCTGGCAGACATAAAGGAAGGAACTGTCTCTTTCCCAGAGACGTCTGTCTCTCTTTTCGCTCCGGCAGAGGATTGGGTTACTGTGATCAGGAGATTGTACAGGCTGACGCGCTAGAATAAAGGGTGGACAAGACATTTTGGACGTAACCCAAGCCGGTAGCTAGTCTCCAGGTTAATTGGTGGGATTAGGGAGACAGGTGTTCAGGGCTTGTCAAGGGAAAATCTTACACCTGGGACACAGGTATTGATGGGTGTTTCCTTGTAGCATAAAATTGCTACATTAAGCACTGGGTCTATTGTGTCCACAGATGCACTTAGAGGCACATTTGTTTGACTAAAACATCCTCACGCAGGTAGCAGCCTGTTTTCTTCACAATGACTACAAGGGCTCTTTACTTTACATGTATATTTAAAAGAAGAACTTGGCTTCAAGGCACTCTTTTACTGTCTTCTTAGACAGAAAAACATTTGCCCCAAATTGATCACATCAACCACGCTGCGTTTTGGGCGGTGGAGGATTAAGATAAATCCCTAATTTGCAGCTCCTCTTAGGTTGTTGTGTAAACAGGACTCGGAGATAAGTCACTGACAAACAATGGCTCAATTAAGGAGAGCAGATCCATTCTGAGTGACGGTCCAAAGACTTTCAGTGGGCTAAAAACGCACATTCGGGAAAAGGTTTACTTGAATTAGTCTCTGCCTACTGTATCTGGTCGTTTGTTTGTGATTTGAAGAAAACGACTAAATGACAGGAGCAACGGCAACTTAAAGCAACAACAGAGTTATTCATTTAAATGCAACAGACTCCACTAAAACCCTGTAACTTAGTAACGATGGCTACCAGGCTTTCCCATTAGTCATATACCTGAAACAGAATACCTGGGTAGAGCTCATAAAAGACGACTGTGTCCCAGCTACAAAGGGTCCATTTGGTCAAACTTAGTGATGGCCCAGTGCCTCAGGGTCCTGTACTGATTTACATAAATATTTGGCCATGCTTCCTGTACCGTCCTGCTCTTCTGTTACCAAACCAGTCTTAGCTTTTTTGTTTTTTTTTCTACCTTCTACCATTTCTTGTGCTCTCCCTCCAGTCCCAGACTTTAAATATGAATGCCACTGGCCATTGCCAGGTAACAAGAATGAAACACACATAAAGTCTGCTCGAAATCCCAACTGTGTAGTATGGATTCAGAAAACACCAAGGAATGTTGGAAAATAAGAAGGAGACTCTTTCATTGCACTCAGTGCTTTGCTTCTGTCTTTCTTCCACCCCACTCGGTCCCGTAGGGGACTTTTATGACTTCATAACGGGTTTACAACATGGCAGAATCTTTTAACATTACATTACATTACACCATTGAACCCTTCGTCCCTCTGCCTCCACACTGAGAGGAAAGGGAAGTACACACAACTGCAGAAGGTGACGTAGCCATAGCTCTAAAAGCCATAACGTCCTCTGTGTGTCTCTGCTGCTGACAACAACAAAAACCATAGTTACATCTTGATAATCCCAGCTCTGGTTCATGAGCCTAATGGTACTGGATTTATAGTCCATGTTTAAGAGCTATCCATCGAGAAGCTGCTGCGTTAGA